AGTTATGAATCGAATGATCGAATTTCCTTCTGGAGAAATCATCATTGTCTTCTTGAATTCTGGGACAGTGATTAATGTTACGGTTATTTCATTCATCGAGCAACGTCGATTACCATATGGGGTTAACTTGAAAGAAAAAAAAAAGAAGAAATTGCAATAAGATAATTTAGGTAGAAAAAAAAGCTTATAACTGAAAAAAAATAACTGAAAAACTGAAAAAAACTTACAACTTATAATTGAAAAAAATAGAATCATTTTATAAATCAACTTTGCTAACAATTAGAAAAATCCTTACCATGAATTGATAATCAAATTGTTGAAGATTCCAAATATACAATGCAGCATGGATAGCTTTCTTAATACGATGGTAATATGTTGTAGTAGTTGAGATACTGTCTACAATAAGTCCCATCGATAATACTATAATGAATATATCGCCTTCTTTCATCATTGAATTGATACTAAGAAGATAACCTCCATAACTGTAATTTATAAAAATATAATTTCATCAATAAGTTCGACTTTTCTACATAATTACAGAATGCGATAAATTAATCTTGTAAAAAAAAAAAATTCAAAAATTTATTCTCAAATAAAAGTTCATAAAAGTAACATGTTCGGAGTATGCTAGAAAAAATAAAGAATAATCTTGATAAATTACTAATTCCATCAGTAAGTTTAAGTTTTTTACATAATTACATGAATGTGATAAATTGAAAAATTTAAAAATACTAACAGCATTCCACAACCAATAAATGTGAAGATTGTAAAAGATAGAATTCCGGAATGGGAACTTTTCCAAATTTGATGTAGGATAGCATAACGGGTACAGCTTCTTACTTCTGTTGACAATCTCATCAAATGTTCATCGTTTGCAATTTTATCATTGGAATTTTTTTGCAACAATAATTCTTTTTCCAGTTGAATTGTCTGGGAAATTTTGCCGGATAAGATAAGATCAGATTTCTTCGAAAGCTATAAATCTCGCATTGAAAAAATGATCAATTCATTATTAAAATAGAGCAATTTCCGTATATCAGTTTAATCAAACTTTAATATTTTTGATTGAAAAGCTAAAGATCAGCAATGAATAAAAAGTTAGTTCTTTTTCATAAATAATAGATTATTACTGTTTTCTTTCGTATTTTTCTAGTTCTTTGAAACTGGAAAATTTTTCATCAAATATTTTATTTAAGAAATCTTTCTGCATCATTCCAACAATTTCTAATTCACCTTTTTTGAAAGTATATTCAATGTTATGACCAATGGTATAACACTCATTACAACCAGTGATAGATACATTTCATGATAAAAACAAATAATCAGAGATGATATGATAATTGCAACATTTCGACATTGCATCCCAAAAGCTTCTGATCCCTGTTCTACTAAATCAACATTCCTGCAAATTTTCTTCCGAAAATTTTCAAAATCGAATTTCTATATGTTACTGTAAATTATTGCAGCGTTCTCTTTCGAAGGACGTCAAATTTATGAGAGAATATTAATTTAATGTTTTTCGATTTTTGTTAATTGTTGAGGAAAAATTCCTTGAAAATAGAAATTTGCAAGTCATAAATTCAATGAAAAATTTGATTTCATTTTTCATGCGCCGTTTGAAATATCAATGTTATTTGGTCATATAATGAGAGGGAAGTGAACTTACTCAATTACTTTTGCAATAATTTCTTCGTTTAAATATTTATGTCTGTGCATTCCATCATAACGCTGTTTCAAGCGAATTCTAATTCTGTCGCTGAGAATTGTGTTTGATATAAACTTAATTTAAACTACTGTTATTGAACATATTAAATTTAAAAATAAATTTGCAAAAAAATAGACAAAATTTTAACTTACGAAATATTTCCCATAAAAATTTGTTTTGTTATACTTTGTTATAGTTTGCAATTGAAAGTAATTGGAATTAAACAAGATTAAGGATGAAGGAAAATAAAATTTCAACAAATGGAAAAAGCATATCGCATCTTATGCTAAAATTGATTATAAAAAAGCTATTGATCTATGATCAAACTACCTAATGCGTAAGTAATTAATTTATTTTTAATATTCAGAAATCTATTGATGGCAATCTTTCTCATCGAGAAAATAGCATTAAGCGCTAAACGCTAAACAGTCTTTTTTTTTTTGCTAACAACAGTATTTAGGACATTTTACGGTTAAATTTAATGAAACGAAATAAAAATTTACCATGCCAAAATGCGTAATAACAGCTAATGCAATGACAAATGTAAGAATAATTATTTGCTCGTAAATTCGTTTAAGGAAAATTACAGTTGTTGCTTCATTTGTTAGGAGAATATGCTTAATTCGGCCGAGAAATACTATCACAAATGAAATGCTACAACCGCTAAGTATCGCAAGTAATAGACCAATTAAAAAGATTTTACTGCTTGATTTTGTATCGCAAATCTAAAAAAAAAAAAAATTAAAAGTTAAAAAAAATTATCTGACGAACAGGCCTCTTCAATTTTCAAATAATAGGACCTATTGATGTTATTGAGAGAATTGTTTCTGTGCGATATTTATTGCTTCATTTTTGGAATAATCATTGAATAACACCAAAAAAAAATAACATATTTATATTGAAACTACTTATTAATTCAAATAGATTTCCAATTATTTACAAATAACTTCCATTCTAAATTTCTCATTATAAAAGTTTGAAAAGTTTCACAAGTAGAATGAAATGAGTTAAACATACCATTCCAAAAAATATTTTCTGTTTTAGAAACCATGATAGCGCCGCGTGATTTTTGCTAAATTTGCTTAACATTATAAATAATTCGCTTCAGGAGATTTCTATCAATTGAAATTTCAAAAGTACAATTATAAATTTGAAATATTTTTGAAGAAAAATTAACCTTCCGGAATTCATTGTGAAACGATCATCAACAGTTATTTCATTCTTACTATTTACATCAGCAACATTCACATGTTGCTTATCATTATTCATTCTCGGTGTATTTTCTTCCATTGATGCTTTTTGGTCTACGTTTGACAGATCGCCGTGGTGTTGCCCATTTTGTGTCATCCTCTTTTACTTCCCTTTTTGGTGTTTTTTTTTTTCACGATCAATTTTGTTGAAGCCGGTAACCGGATTTCTTTAAACCGATCAATCTTCGAAATTTAGAATTCCATTAAAGAAATTAATCGTTTTCATCTTAAAAAAAACAATTCCAATTGCAAAAATTTTCAGCAATATTTTTTCTTCATTTTCATTTGTTTTTTTTTTTTGTGAAGTTAATGTTAATTATTATAAAATTGCATTTTCAGATAAATTAATTGCTCCATTTCACAATTGAATGTCTTTTATTTTAGAGATTTTTGAACTTATTGCAAAAGAGAATTAAATGATGTCCTTTTAACTAAATTCACATTAAGCATGATTTTTTCAATAAATTTGAAAATTAGCTGAAAAATTCAAACCGATTTTTTCAATCTAAATAAATATAAATAAAACATGAAATAAACGTTTTCGTTCTTAAATTTATTCTTAAAAAATATGGAGCAATTATTTTCTAAATAATTAACAGATAATTTATGCTTAATAGTAGCTTTTTTTTAAAAAAAGCAAAATGAATTAGATTCTGTGTGCTCATATTTTGAAATGTTTTCACAACGAAGTGTTTTCTTTTTTTTATTTACACAAATTAAAATGGTTTCAAATTTTTTACAGTTGTTAGTATTTTTAAAAATGTCATCTTTATAGATGTAAATGTCGCATCAATTTTTGAGCGGCCTCTCAAACATGATATGAAAAGTACAACTTGAATCTTTTAGAAGAATTTCTGATATCAAATTCCGTATTTTTGAACTTAAATAAACTGAGCATCATTTTGCACTAAAAAAAATTGTATTGAATTCAATTAACATCATTGAATAGTAGCAAATTCGAACTATTGAAGTGAAAGATCAATTAGCTTTTTCCTGATGATTCATCTCAAAATATTAAAAAAATTTTTTTTTCATTTCTTTAACGCATCAATACTGTAAGGCATTCAACACAGGAGCTGACACAACACAAACAGAGAGGTCATTTCCATCTGCATGAAAATGATTTACAAAAAAACGAAGTATCGAAGTATCGAAAAATCAATTTCTGAGAAGCGCTGAATCTGTAAACAAAAAAAAAAAACGAATGAAAGGTGTTAGAATGGAAAGGATGTTTATTGTCAAAGAAGTGTAATTTTTTTTTTGACCTAATAACCTTTGACAAATTCATGGCCTATTCAAATAAATTCTTTTTCTCAATTATAAATTTCTTGAATTTCAATCAATTTATCGTAGATGTACTTGCTATACTATTTAACATATCTAAACGCTCGGTGAAAATTTTTCAATGATTAGTGAAATGATTGAAATTGAAAATTAAACACAGGAAGAGTTAACCTTTTCATTCCTCTGAAAAGGAACAAATTTTAGCATGCTACAATTCTTAAAGTTTCTTTCATGTAAGAATTTCTTTTTTTTTTTTGATGCTCTCCTTTTGAAGGAACAAAGAAAATAGCAATTATTCAATAAAATGTGTTTATATCGAACAATTTCTCGTTCTGAGAGTTAATATAAGATGATCTATCAGATTTTAATCTCTTAATCAGATGGAATGATTAAAAGAAGAAAGAGAGGCAGAGAATTATGTGAATTATTAAATTCTAAAATGAATAAAAGATAAATAAAGATAGGGAAATAAGCAAATAAAATAACTACTTTAAAGTTACTATGAAAATTGGCGAATATGCACAAAAATAATATCAACAAAAAGATTTCGAGTTTTTAGGGCTTACCAAATTTCGAATTATCGTTTTATAGTACGGAATGAAATGGAAGATTTTATAGTACGGAATGAAACGGATAAATCGTAATAATTTTGAATGATTATCTCTGTATGAGATTTTATGCAGAATCGAAGGATTTATTATAATCGGATTTACTGTAAACCGTTATTCGTTACTATTATAATTTTATAAAACGAAAAAGAGATTGCTATATATTTAAATTATTCAAAATAAAAAAAAAAACAACAAAAATAAACAAAAGAAAAAGAGAGATATGAAGATAGTGGATAATGGAATGATAATGTAAGAAGTTAAATTGTTTTATACAGGTTTCATTAAACGATGAAAGAGAAAAAAAAACAACTAACGGAATATGAGAGATTGTAGAGAATTAGCACAAGAAATACTGATGACCTCTTGAAAACGAACAGTTAATCTATCATGGAAAATAAACATTAAATTGAAAGAAGAACTATTCAACTAACCCCGCATCTACCATTTCACATCTAATATGAAAGTGAATATACGCTGAAATTAATTATTTGAGTTGATGAATAAATGAAAGCTATCAGATGACTGTTTATTTTTTGGAAATGAAATTATTCATTGAAATCAAATACACATATATAAATATATCAGTATGCATTAAATTTATTTGAAACAAATCGATGAAAATGGAGAAGAAATGGATTGGAATGATTGAATGTAATGCATACGTGTGAATGATGATGAGGCGTGAGCTGAATTTAAATAACAATAAAAAAGTCATCCATAAAAAGTTCAATTTCATTTTCTTTAAAATTATCAGTACTTCTTCATAACATATAATTATAAACGAAATCATTTCTGAAATGCTAAAGGAAAAATGAGGGATGAAAAAAAAAGAGTTGAATGAATTGTAGATTGTATGATATTAGATGATAATACAAGTTCATCTTGATGATATCAAATGTTATCTGAGAAATTGCCCTATCAATCACGGATATACATTTTCATCATGATAAATGATTGTGATATTAGAAAATAATGTCCTTAGGTGAAAAATTTAACTTTTACTAAGCGATATAATTAATATTGCTATTAAATTATCTATCTTCAAGTTTATTTTGCATTTTTGGTAAAAGTTAGAAACCAATTTTTTATGGTAAAAAAATTTTAGATAATATTTGTATAGCATCCAATACTTTTATATAGATTCTTCAAAAAAAAAA